CCTGTGATTGGCGTGGGGAATGCCAAGGTGATGGGAGCCAAAGAGGAGCTTGTGGGGCTTGGAAATTTCCTTCTGGTTGAAGGTTTATCCGCTAACCTCTTCTCTGTGCGCCGGCTGCAGGAAAGCAAGGCTAAAGTCACGTTCGGCCCAACCACCTGCCGTGCAAAGCTTGGGAAGTTGCTGATGTGGGATTTGGAGAAGAGCAGCTGCATCAAGGACCTGTGGCAGCTGCCCATCATCCCTTGGAATGGGAAACCACCAGCAACGGCAACGGCAGCGGCAGCGGCTCAAGAAACTGCGGGAGGAGAGGAGACTGCATCAACTGATGGGGCGGTGGATGCAGTCAAGAAGGTGCAGCAGCCACAGCAACCACATAATGAGGTGCTTGCTGGCGTGGATGCGACAGCGGGATGGGCAAAGGCTTCATTTGGGAGTGGTGAGGCCGATTCGGAGACGTGGCATCAGAGGTTGTGCCATATTGACATTCCTATGCTGCAGAAGTTGGTGAAGGATGAGAGCTTGAAGGGGCTGGAGGTGAAGGGGCAGCAAAGGAAAATTGGGAGCTGCCCTACGTGCCTTGAGAAAAAATTCACCAAGTTCCCCTTCAGCAGCAGCACGGGACCAGTCAAGGCACCGCTCGCGCTTGTGCACATGGATGTGGTGGGGCCTACGAGGGCCCTTTCTCTCTCGGGCAGCCGCTACTTCTTGACCATCGTGGATGACCACACACGTGCGGTGTGGCTCTACCCTCTTAATACCAAGGGGGAGGTGGCAGCGGCTGTTCTTAAAGAGTGGATGCCGAGAGCTCAAAGGGAGAGCGGACACAAGGTGAAGGTGATCCGCACCGACAATGGGGGAGAGTTCATTGGCGCTGATTTTGAGGCGGTGTTGAAGAGGAAGGGGATCCAGCATCAGCTCATAGTGCCCTACAACCCTCAGCAGAACGGTGTGGCTGAGCGGTTCAACCGGACCCTGCAGGAAGGTGCTCGCACTCTCCTTGGGCGCGAAGGGCTGCCGGATCCGTTTTGGTTGACTGCACTGAGGTAGGTTGCTCTTGTGAAGAACAGGGTGCTGGCGACTGTGGGGGACAAGCAATGGGTTCCCTACACCAAGCGGTATGGGAGTGCACCAGCAGTCAACATGCTAAGAGTCTACGGCTGCATGGTGGTGTTTCATGTACCTAAGGAGAAGAGGGGAAAGTTGGAGGCTTCTGGAAGATGGGGTGTGCACTTGGGGCTTGCTAAGGATCACAAGGGCTGGTTGATATGGGACTTGACCAGCCAGCAACTGACTGTGTCAAGGGATGTGAAGTTCCCTGAGTCACTGTACTACAAGGAGTGGAAGCAACAGCAGCAGAAGCTTCCTACGACACCGCTGATCGTTGAGGCCGATGAGGTGCAGCGGCCTTCAAGGAAAGTGCAGGTCACTGTCTCAGAGGAGGAGATCTCTGGAGTGACTGAGGATGGGGGAGAACCTGAGGTGGAGGAGCAGCAGCAGCAGCAGCAACAGCAGCCGCAGCAGCAGCAGCTAGGTGTTCCACAAGGTGCCGCATGTCCGGCTGACCGTCCTAGGAGGGATGTGCGCCCTCCTAACAGGCTGACCTATCCTAGCTTTGGCAAGCCAAAAGTGGTACCGGCTGGGAGAGTGGCTGAGCAGATGGATGACGATGAAATAGCCTACTGCTGTGAGTCTACATTCAGAGGCTTTGGAGGATAGTGCTGTGAGAGAGAGGCTACATTGGGGTGCTTTGGAATTGAGCAAAAAAGGAGATGTTGGAAGTGGGATGTTAGAAGGAAATTATTATCCATTGGGATGAGTGCTGGAAGTGAATGAAGCTTGCTGGAATGAGTGTGCATTGAGGGTGCATGCTTGAGCTATGGCTTGTGGAATGATGGTTGGCAGCCAGAGGGGGAGTTTGTTGTGTGATGCAATCATTTGCATTCACGTCTGTCTGCCTCCCATTATATGTTTGTGCGTTGCATGCGTGGTGTAAGCGCGTGCAAGAATTTGTGCTTTTGTGTGGTTTGTGTTTTCTGAGTGTGTGTGAATGTTATTTGGCTTGAGCAGATATTTGAAATGACTCCTCTGCTCAAGAGCTTTCCGTCGAGGCAAGTATCGCTTCAATCGGAGCACGAACAAGAAAGTTACGAACGTTTGAAGTTCGTATGCTTTTGATATTTGGTTGTGGTGACTATGGGAAGTTGTGGGGTTGACTCCATAAGGGGTATAGACTTTTGGGGGTTGGGAAATTCGTCACCATCACTGTAGATGCTGCCAAGTGGTTGGGAGAAGCCAAACCATGTTGGAAAGTGTGACCAAGTTGGGTGAGGTGGATGGCATGGGTTGGAAAGTGACAAAAGTAAAAGTTGGGGTGCCTATGGAGAGGGGAATTGTGTGGCATGGGGTTTCCTTGGTTGGGGAGTCTCTTGGGACCTTCCCTCTCGTCCTCCTCTTTCCTCCTACCTGGTTAATTGCTACTCCAACTCTCTTGTGTGGTTCTTGTGAGAACTTGCATGAACTATTGTGAGTGAGTTAAATTTTCTATGGCAGCTTACCCCCTAGTGCGCCGGAATTCATAACTCGATATTTACTCCATCGTTTGATACGATTCAAAATTGGGAAAGGTAGCCACGGTCCAGGGCAACAACATACTCGAGTTTGGCGAGATTCTAACGGTGCACGTTTCGTCGACGACGTTTCTTTTTGAAGTCGACGATTCTGTCCAGAAATTGAGACCAACGATTTTGTGATATTTCGGCCCCTAATCTTCATAGACTCAGTCCTTAATCTCTAACAAGTTCGCCCGCCTCCGCAGAGTTTCGCACAACTCTGCAATTTCGATCGATCAGCTCGACTCTGCTCGGTCGAACAGCGTTCGCCGAGCAGAGTCCCTCGACTAGAACTCTTCGACCAGAGTTCTTCGACCAATGCTCTTCGGAGGGAGATCGTCGCGCAGAGATCGTGGACCAGAGCTCGTCGTGCAGAGCTCTTCGACCAGATTCCGTCGAGCAGAGCCTGCTCGACCGCAAATTCCGTCGAACTGCAGAAGCCGATTTCGTCTACCAATCCGTCGCGAACTTCTCGTCGACGGCGAGATCGGCTGCGCCCAAGCGAGGGCGGGGCCTTTCTCTTCGACAGACTCGACACACACACACTTGACATCATGACCCATCATACACACACTATTATAAGCATGAAATATATATTTATTTCATGCACTCTTACCATTCCATGCACACACGCATGCATGCACACGGACAACAAGCCGAGTGCAAGCCGTAGGGTTGCATTGAAGTGCTCGACGTAGGTCCAGTAGATTCTCCCTTTCAGGTCGGCGCAGGTACTGTGCAAGCTGGCTTGCAACTTAGGAGAGATCCGGCCGGCACGTGACGGCGGCGAACAGGAGACACCCTAGTTGCTGCTGATAGAGGCGATGGTTTTCAGTCGACAACGGCATGGTGCCAGGTTCGCGGTCAGGAGGAGGAATGCGAAAGGTGTCGGAATCTTCTGCTCTCGCCTTGCCTGCACTTCTAGACTCTGCTGCCTCTCTCTCTCCTGCCTCTTCGGTCTCCTTTGCCTCTCCCGGTGCTCTCAGCCTGGCTTCTGAAGGCTCCTCAGCTCTCTATTCATCCCTCCTCTGAGTCCAGCCCCTTGCCCCACTTGAAAAGTCTTCAGCCACTGGCCGAAAATGGTTCTCAAATGTCAAACATTGTATATGTTTGTGTTCTGTAGGCTGTAGTGGGTACTCCCACTCATCTGGTTGTCTCCCACTCATTCTGACATTAACCATGCTACTTCACTCATTCTGAGGGTGTGAACTTCAGGACGGGGGTGTCCACCAGTTCACCCCTGCCTACGAGCGTGTGACACACTGCACGTGTGCTCGGACGGGTCGCCACCTGGCTACCTTCACTCGGCAGCCGGGGTCGGACCTGTACACACTGACCACTGAGTCCCCTCAGGTAGCTGCGTCTGCGTCTGCGTCAGGTCAGCTGTCGGCCCCCTGCTCGTGTCGCTCTCTGGCGCACGAGACCGTCCTCTGGCACCACCGCCTTGGTCACCCGTCAGTGCAGCGCCTTTGTGGCATGCACAAACGGTACCTTGTCTCTGGTCTTCCCAGGGTTCTCCCTCCTCTCCCACCCTCGCCTGCTCCTCCCTGTCGTCCCTGTGTCGAGGGGCGGCAGCGCGCCGCTCCTCACTCCTCCTCATTTCCCCCGACGACTGCTCCCCTGCAGACGCTCCACATGGACGTGTGGGGCCCAGCCCGCGTTCGTGGACAGGGTCACAAGAGGTACTTCTTGATAGTTGTTGAGGACTACTCGCGCTACACCACGGTCTTCCCCTTGCGCACCAAGGGTGAAGTCCCTGATGTTTTTATCCCTTGGATCCGCGCTGCCCGTCTCCAGCTTAGCGAGAAGTTCCACTCGGACTTTCCTGTCCTGCGTCTGCACTCTGACAGAGGTGGGGAGTTTTCCTCCGACCTCTTGAGGGCCTACTGTCAGGGGCAGGGCATTGAGCAGTCGTTCACGCTTCCGGCCTCTCCACAGCAGAATGGGGTTGCTGAGCGCCGCATTGGCCTGGTCATGGAGGTCGCTCGTACCTCCTTGATCCATGCGGCTGCCCCCCACTTTCTGTGGCCGTTTGCGGTCCGATACGCTGCGCATCAGCTCAACCTCTGGCCCCGTGTCTCCGTTCCGGAGACTTCGCCGACACTGCGTTGGACGGGAGAGGTTGGCGATGCGTCTCGTTTCCGGGTCTGGGGATCTCGAGCTTTTGTTCGCGATACGTCCGCGGACAAGCTCTCCTCCCGCGCTGTTCCTTGTGTCTTCCTTGGCTTTGTCCCGGACGCGTCTGGTTGGCAGTTTTACCACGCCACCTCGCGCCGTGTCCTGCCTTCTCAGGACGTCACGTTCGACGAGTCGGTCCCCTACTACCGCCTCTTCCCCTACCGCACTGCCCCGCTCCCCCCCCCGCCTCTCTTCCTCGCACCAGGTGCTGCTATGGTAGACCCCCTCCCCCCTCAGGGTGCCGCTCCCTCAGGTGTGTCCCAGGTAGACCCGGTTGATCCTGTCGAGGTAGCTGTCGACTCTCGTCCTGGTAGGGGTGCTGAGCCTGGGGGTGCGGAGCCTGGGGGTGCGGAGCCTGGGGGTGCTGAGCCTGGGGGTGCGGAGCCTGGGAGTGCGGAGCCTGCGGGTACGGAGTCTGGGGGTGCTGAGTCTGGGGGTGCTGAGCCTGAGAGTGCTACGTCTGAGGGTACTGAGCCAGAGGGTGCTGCGACTGACCGTGCTGCACCTGGAGGCGCTCCCTCCTCACAGCAGCTGCGGGAGTGGTACTTGCAGTACTGCAGCCTCAGGGGGGGCGCGTCTGGAGCTAGGGGTGCTTCTGGAGCTGGTGCTCGTGGTTCCCCTCCTCGTCGGGAGCCGCCCTCTCCCCAGCGGCTCCGAGAGTGGTACGCTCGGCGCTGCAGTCTCCGGAGTGGCGCTACTGGTGTCGCGGACCCTGGAGCTGGAGCTGGTACTGGTGCTGGTGCTACTGACGCTGGAGCTGCTGGAGGCACTGCTGGCGCTGGAGGCACTACTACTTCTGGAGGTGCTGCTGGAGCTGCTGGAGGTGCTGGAGCCTCTGGTCCTGGAGGTGCTCGTACAGGCGGTACTGGAGCTGCTGGGACTGGGGGTTCTGCTGGAGCTGGAGCTGCTGGAGGTGCTGCTGGTGCTGGAGCTGCTGGTGGTGCTGCTGGAGGTGCTGCTGGTGCTCGAGCTGCTGGAGACGCTGCTGGTGCTGGAGGTGCTGCTGGTGCTGCTGGAGGTGCTCCTAGTGCTGGAGCTGCTGGAGGTGCTGCTGGTGCTGGAGCTAGTGGAGACGCTGCTGGTGCTGGAGGTGCTGCTGGTGCTGGTCCTGGAGCTGCTGGGACTGGAGCTGCTGCGGGAGTTGGAGCTGAGGGTGCTGGTGTTGTCCCTGCTGGTTCAGGAGGAGCTGCGCGGCCGCGGCCGTACTACGTTCCGCTCCTTCAGCAGGTTCTTGGCCTCCCGCCCTCCACTGGTCCTTCTCCTCCCCTACTGAGTCCACCACCTGTCCAGTCGCAGTCACAGTTACCGCTTGCCTCTCCGCTGCCTGGTCCTTCTCCTTACGCTGGGCCGACTGGAGGCCTTTCAGAGCGTCGTGAGCCTGAGTCTCGTCCTGCTCCGCGTGAGCGACCTCCTCCTGTCCCTGGCACTCACTATATGACTCTGCGTCCTTCCACTGCTCCACAGCGTGTCCCTTTGCCGTCTCCTCCTGAGTCCTCTCTTCCTGCTCTTGCTGACCCGGAGTCTGACTCCCTTCATGCTGCCAGTCCTACTGTCACACTGTTGTCACTGACCCTACCTTTGAGTCCTCTGCTGCGTCTGCTCTTGTCGCTGAGCTTGTTGACTTTGCTGCCGCCTGTCGTCTAGACTACGCCGCTAGCCTTGTTGCTGAGTCTGAGTCTGTCTGTCCTCCGTCCGTCGGACGTGAGTGTGCTCTTGGCACGGACGTCCTCGAGGACAGACAGGAGGAGTTTGAGTGCTTTGCCGCTGCTTTGCCGCTGCTTTACCTCATCTCGTGTCCATGCTGATTGCCCCTGAGGGAGACTCGGATGCACCAGACATCCCGACCCCACGCTCTTACGCAGAGGCAATGGAGGGTCCCTACTCCTCTCAGTGGCAGACATCCATGGACGCAGAGATGGCTTCCTGGAAGTCCACAGGCACCTACGTCGACGAGGTTCCCCCACCTGGGGCGAACATCGTCAGTGGCATGTGGATTTTCAGGTGAAGCGGCCGCCGGGTTCTCCGCCTGTCTTCAAGGCGCGTTACGTTGCACGAGGCTTCAGTCAGCGAGAGGGAGTTGACTTCTTCCAGACCTTCTCCCCGACCCCGAAGATGACCACTCTTCGGGTTCTGCTGCACGTCGCCGCTCAGCGTGACTACGAGCTCCACTCTCTTGATTTCAGCACTGCGTTCTTACAGGGCAGCCTGCACGAGGAGATCTGGCTGCGCTGCCCACCTGGCTTCACTGGGTCGTTCCCTCCTGGTACCCAGTGGAGCCTCCGGCGGCCAGTCTACGGTCTCCGCCAGGCACGACACACTGAGGACTACTCTTGCTGCTCTTGGGTTTGCTCCTTCTACTGCTGACCCGTCGCTGTTTCTACGCACGGACACCACTCTGCCGCCGTTCTACGTTCTCGTTTACGTAGACGACTTGGTCTTTGCTACTGCTGACACTGCGGCACTCGCCCACGTGAAGTCGGAGCTGCAGAAGAGACGCACGTGCACAGACCTGGGTGAGCTGACAAGCTATCTTGGCTTGCGGATCACCCGGGACAGAGCACAGCGCACCATCACCTTGACTCAGTCACACATGGTGCAGCAGGTCCTTCAGCGCTTCCGCTTCACGTACTCCTCGCCTCAGCCCACTCCTCTTCCTACCGGTCACTCGCTCTCAGCTCTGCCTTCGGATGAGTCCGTAGAGCCGAGTGGCCCGTATCCAGAGCTTGTTGGCTGCCTCATGTACCTGATGACCTGCACTCGACCTGACCTTGCATACCCTCTTAGCATCCTAGCACGCTATGTCACTCCTGGCCGTCACCGGAAGGAGCACATGGATGCCGCTAAGAGGGTGTTGCGCTACTTGTGCAGTACGTCGGGCATGGGGCTTGTGCTTGGAGGACGGACTCGGGTTGTCCTCACAGGGCACTCAGACGCTTCTTGGGCGGACGACCAGGCTACTCAGCGGTCGTCTCAGGGTTACACCTTCAGTCTTGGCTCTGGTTCAGTCTCTTGGCGTTCTACACGCTCGTCTTCAGTTCTCAGCTCCAGTTGTGAGGCTGAGATCTACGCCACAGCCATGGCTGCACAGGAGTTACGCTGGCTCACCTACCTGCTGACCGACCTGGGAGAGCGGCCTCGTTCCCCTCCAGTGCTGTACGTCGATAACAAGGCCGCCATTGCCTTGTGTCAGGAGCACAGACTGGAGCACAGAACGAAGCACATTGCTCTGCGCTACTTCCTTGCTCGAGAGTTGCAGCAGCGTGGTCAGCTTCGTCTTGCTTACGTGGCCACTCGGGCCAACACTGCTGATGTGTTCACCAAGGCGCTTCAGCCTTGTGATCATCAGCGTTTCTGTACTATTCTAGGCCTTGTGCCTACTGTCCCTCACTTGCTCACTTCTTGACTCTGTTTGTACTGTGATCTCTATATATATACCTGCATGCTTACACTTGCTAGGTTGTGATCACTGTACCTCTTGTTATATTATCAAACTGCATGTGCACTGGTCTTGTGACCGCTTGCTTGTGCTCGGAATTTGTGTGGTATCCTTGAGATCCACCCTGAGCTGTGCTTTGCCTTGCTTTGCTTTGACTGGTCTTGTGACCATCTGGTTGTCTCCCACTTTGCCTATGGGGGTGTGTCAAACATTGTATATGTTTGTGTTCTGTAGGCTGTAGTGGGTACTCCCACTCATCTGGTTGTCTCCCACTCATTCTGACATTAACCATGCTACTTCACTCATTCTGACATGGATAATGAACGTTCTCTTTAGTGCTTGCGCAGGTTGGCTTCTCGTGCTTAGTTACGCCTGAATACGTTGGAAGTTGTAAGCATAAGTGTGAAAACAATCACGCAAGCATCTCTCTAAGCTTGCCTAATTTCTTAAGTACCAGCGGCGGGTTACCGTTGTTCTAACGGTCCCCTTTTGCCCGCCAACTTCGCGTTTCCGTTTGTTCGCTTCGGCATTCGGCCGGTCCAGCCTTATCCTTCCTACTGTATCCTCTGATTATCCTATAAGTCACGAATTTATATCTAAGGCACCTACGCAAAGATTAGAATCGTGACAGCTGTTGGAATCTTCTGCTCTCACCTTGCCTGCACTTCTAGACTCTGCTGCCTCTCTCTCTCCTGCCTCTTCGGTCTCCTTTGCCTCTCCCGGTGCTCTCAGCCTGGCTTCTGAAGGCTCCTCAGCTCTCTATTCATCCCTCCTCTGAGTCCAGCCCCTCGCCCCACTTGCCCCCTCCGCGGCTGTCCTTGGGCCCATGCCTGCTACCGCTGGATTACTTCCTCGTGTGGCTGTGTGCCTCGCGGGTCTCTCTTTGGTCAATGATCCGTCTCCTCTGCCCTTGCTCGCCCACGAGCACCACCACACCTGAGTCTTTCACTTCCTTAACTTTCCAGCGTTCCGTGCTCAGCCCGATGTCCATCAGGTCAAGCTTAGGTATACTTCCTCCCCTGCCCCCAGGGCCCAGTCTTTCTTCCCCGCTTGAAGCTCCCCCCGCCTCTTGTACCGTTGCGCGTCTCTCAGCTGCGCCACATGCAGGTTCTCCAGCACCGCCGGTAATAGCTCTTTTAGGTACCGCGCTCTCGCCTCTGCCAGCCCCACCCAATCTTCTTCCTTCTCCACTCGCACCGACCTCGTGAGTATCTACGACGCGTCCACGGGTAGCACCGGTTCTCGTCCCAGGAGGAGCTAGTATGGCGATAGGTCCCTTAGCGCCGCTTGCTTGCTGAATCGATATCCGGCCACCACCCACGGTAATCGCGCATCCCAATCTCGCTTGAACCGTTCCCCGTAAGCCCGGAGCCCTCGCTTTACAATCTGCACGAACCGTTCTGTGAGTCCGTCACTCTGCGGGTGGTATCGGGATGTCCTCCGATAGGTGAAACCTGTGACCTGCAGCAGCTTATCGAACTCCCCCATGAACTCTGTTCCCTGATCTGTGAGTACCTCACCACACGCCCCGAACCTGGTGAGCACTTGCTCCTCGAATGCTTCAGCTATTCTGGCTGAGTTTTTGCTGGGGAGGGCCCTCACTTCGACCCACTTGCTGTCGTGCTCAATCATGATCAGGATGTATCGCTTCCCTCTCCTGCTCAACGGCATCTATCCCGTGTATGGGTAACGATTGCAACTCTTTCCTGCCCCGTTCCAGCTCGGCTTTATTCCTGCTGCAAAGCTCACACCGTCCACCCATTCCCTGATGTCCTTCCGCATCCCGTCCCACCACCATCCAGTCTCGACTAGCTGGGCAGTGCGCAGGCTTCCGTAGTGCCCCAGTTGCCTATGAACGCTTCGGATGATCTGTTCTCGCTCGTGCTTTCGTGGAACTAGTTTCCACCCGTCCCGTGTGTTCTTCTGCAACTGCTCTAGGTGCCATCGGTGATGGGCTCCTCTAGCCCTGGCTCTCTCGCTCACCGGCGTCTCCTCTGCAGTCTTTCCTTGCAACCAGTCCAGGACCTCTCGGTCGTCCCACACGTCTGCTGGCCCCTTCCCCTTTCCACGGCTAGCCCCTTCCGCGTCTATCCCTCTCGCTAATGCCACTAGGCATGCTGTAGGTCGGTGATCAGGGGGATTTCGTGACAACTGTCCACGTGCTGCATGGTCTTGCCCGTTCGGTGCCGAATGGAGAAGTCATACTCTTGGAGCCGCATTGCCCAACGCGCATTTCTCCCAGTCAACGCCTAGTTGGTCATCAGCCATGTCAACGGCTGATGATCTGTCACCAGCTCGAACTGTCTCCCCTGCAAGTACACCCGGAAATGTGTAATCGCCCACACTGCTGCCAGCCCTTCGCCCTCATACGAGCTGTAGTTGGCTTCCGCAGGGTTGCAACTCCGGCTGGCGAAGGCTACGACTTTCCCTTCGCCTTCCCTCTTCTGACATAGGATCGCCCCCATTCCCGCGCTACTCCAGTCCGTCTAAAGCACAAACGAGTCTCCTTTGTTTGGCAGCGTCAAGACGGTAGCCGTTTTTACTGCCCTCAGCAGTGCCTGCAGCGCCTCCTGCTCGCCCCCCCCCCCCCCTTCCCATTTCTGATCCTCCCTCAGTAGTCGGTTCAAAGCCGCTGTTGTTTTGCTGAAATTCGGTATGAATTTCCGATAGTAGTTAAGGAACCCTAGCACGGCTCGCAGCGTGCTTCGGTCCTTCGGCTGCGGAACTCTGTCTAAGACCTCCACCTTCACTTGCTGAATTCCCAGCTGTCCCCCTTGGACTTCGAACCCCAAGTACTTTACCTCGGTGTTCCCGAAACTACACTTCTTTGGGTGGCAGGTGAGCCCGGCTTCTCGAATAGCGTCTAGTGTAGCTTTCACGTCCTTCACATGCTGCTCCGCGTCGGGGCTGAAGACCAACATGTCATCAATGTAACATGCCGCTGCTGGCACCCCACGCAGTATAGTATCCATGATACGCTGGAACAAGGCCGCCGCGTTCTTCATTCCGAATGGCATAAATAGCCATTCGTACAAGCAGTCCGGACCGTGGAAC